CACTTACACATGTATATTATGTGTTATTTATATGTACACAATTTAATATAAGCAACTATATTGATATGACGTGGGAATGATATAAAACATATATCTGTTCTTTTTGATGGAATACTAGGATAAGATTATTTCTTAACTTCCACGGGCTTTTTACTTACATGATTAGAGATCATTTAAATAGTATATTTCAATGCCTTTAGTACGTGTAATTATGGCCTTATACCTATAACGTTGATTTTTGCTTATTAAATTTGTGTTTTTTTTTATATTCATAATATTGATAACAAAGTCTGCGAGCATCAGTCAAGTAATTAAATACACTCGTAAGAGAAAAAAACATGTAAATTCACTATTATTATTGAAAATTTAGTCTTTATGTAAAACAATATTCAATGAAATAAAATATGTACATAGTTTGTAAATGACAATTCTTTGAAGTACATTTTCAGTATTTTGCAAGTTAACCCAGAGGGAGAAGTTGAAACGCTTGAGTCGTTAAATTGAAGATTAACATTATTTCGTGACTATCTTGAGAATCACTCTAGGGTTATTTACTTTTTCTGCTTGGAGACTTAAATTTTTTAAGAAGGAAATTATTTTGCCTAAAATTCTTAATGCATTTACAAGCTTCTACGGAGTTGTGGTACGGTGATAGATACTTCGAATCGAACCGGCAAGACTAATGCGTCTTGCGTCATCTGACCAAATAACATTCATTAATAGTGAATTCTGTACTCTAATATGTAAACGGAAATCAATATATATGGTTGGAAATTGGGACACTCTATTTTTAATATATTGAAATAATTTTGTTTAAATAACTGCTATTTGACATTCATCGCGGTTTTATAAAACCAACCATTCCTTTTGTACCTATAACACAGCACAACAAAATCAAACTTTTTTTTTGTTGCATGAAGTTTTTCTATTGTTGTTTACTAATTTGGGTGCGCTAATTTTAAATCTGACCTCAGATTTTTTGTAGCAGCTCTAGTTAGTCAGATACAGGTCCGTCTTAAATTTACATAAGTTGTCAATAGTTTCTACGAATAGCGGTGTAACTTAACTAGTCCCTTTATACATTTCATTATGTCTTCCTCAAGAAGGACGTGTTTAAATAATCCTGAGGGTTTTTGTGCTATTTGCGGATAATATATGTTCCAAAAATGTCGTTTAAGTGTGTGAGACTTTGTAAAAAAGGCATACTTCGACTACTTTGGGTTTCCGTTGCCATCAAACGCTAAACCTTTGATACCAATTTTGGTGTGTAAAAGTTGTATTGAATCTTTGCAATTATATGCAAACAAAAAAAGACCAAATTTTAAGTACAAATCTCCCATGATATGGCGTCAACCACCCAACCATCATAACGACTGTTATTTTTGTGTAACGAAAATAATAGGAATAAAACCATAAAAATTGCTCTAAGTGGATATATGCAAACTAAAAATCTGTCGTAAGACCAGTCTTGAGTGTTACTGACACATCAACACCACAGCAACCTTATAGATCTTCGGAAATCCAGACCAGTGCAGCGGACAAACCGAAACGACGACAGTGGTAGAGACAATAGTCCCCGATTACTGAATAAAGATGATCTAAATGACTTGATCATGGGACTTGGCCTGTCTAAAAGATGATAGATGATAAAAATTTCATCAACCATATGACAGCTATTGAGAAATGTGCATGGGAAGAGTTTGTTTGAGTAGTGAGAAATTTTTTGAGAATACTAAGTCTGACGGCTACATTCAGCACGTTGAACAGTTGCTGATACACTTCCTGCGGCTTGGATGCAACATGAGTATTAAGCTTCACTATCTTCACAAACATCTAGACTATTTTCCTGAAAATCTAAGTGACCTAAGCGAGGAACAAGGAGAGCGCTTTCAACAGGATATTCGCGCTATGGAGAACACGTATCAGGGGTACTGGAAGGAATATATGATGGCTGGTTATTGTTGGAGCATTCAAAATAGTACTCATGATACATCTCACTCTAGAAAATCCACAAAAAGGAAATTTTGTTCAGAATAAATATATTAAATAATTTTTTAAACTTAAATTTTGTGCATTTTTAATGAAAAACCCTGTCTCTTCATAACTCCAAAACTAGAGCTGCTACATAAAAACGGCATATATTTTTGAAATAAGCGTGGAAAAACTATTCAGATTCATGTAAAAAATCTCATGCAACAGACATGCTGTTTTCCAGTGTAATTATTGCATTCATTTGAAAAAGCCACTTCAATTTAAATTTTATAGGTAATCGTTTCTAAAATTATATTTTTGTACAATTTTTGTTGTATCATTGAATGTTTTAATCGTAACAGCAGTTTTTGATGCTAGGTCAGATATATCAGACTTTTACCATTACTTATTTGATGAAGTCAGTCAGTCAAGAGTCAGTGGTGGTCTAGTGGTTAAAAGGGTCCGCCTCTCGTGCACGAGGGAGCGGGTTCTATCCTGGCAAGTACCAATATGATTTTTCCGAGTCATATGTACTTACTTTCTAAGAGTATTTAGTCAGCATTGACACACAGTGAAGGAAAACATCGTGAGGAAACCTGTTCTTATAATTTCACAATTATAAGTTTGAAATCACCAACCCGTCTTAAGCAAGCGTGGTGATTAATTCTCAAACCTTCTCCATGTGAGAAAGAGGCCTTTGCTCAGCAGTGGGTTCTGAGAGGATGATGAAGACGATTTACACGTCTAAGTCATCTCTAAGTGAGGGTTATTAGAAATGCATATTTTGGAGGCCAACAATTTTTTTTAATGAATGATAATACTTAAAAACTTCTATATTTATTAGATTTAATATTGATGCAGTCAAAACGTATTGATGAATGTAATAATCTTAAAAAAACATTACATACTTTTTTTAAATACATTTTTTGTCATTTAAAGTTTCATCATTTAATTAAGTCATTCAATACATGCAAGCATCGATAAAAACAAATACATTCTTCTACAACATCGCTTGAACAGCGTTAATTAGTTCCTTTATTTAACTTTTATTCAAATAAAACTGTAGTGTAGTTTCAATTGCTTCAATGTTATATAACAATTCCGACGGTGCTTTGATAATAATTATTCGAATCCAATCATTGTTTCTTTTGAAATTTTCAACTTGAATAATTTATTTTCGTATAATAAACAATTGTTTTCTGTGAGGATTCTTTTATAAAATAAGAATTTGCATACTAAAATAAAACAGTTATTTTGGTAACATAAAATGTATGATTTTATGATATGGTCAATCATCAAATCGTTACATAACGTTTTTCACGCTTGTAGTTCCTTTCAAAAAAAAATTTTTTTAAGTACTTTCAAATATGCATACTCTTAATTTTTTTTAATATTTTTGTTCGATATCTCTCTATAGACATGTTTCATAAGAATATCAGAAGAATGTACCTTTTGTATTAAAATAAACTTTTGCATAATGATTTCTATTATTTTGGCAAGTACTTATTTTAATGAAACTATTTTTTTCGGATGATACTACTAAATACTTCCGACGTTTCGACTTCTTTCCAACAGACGTGATTACGGGCAGACGAGTTGAAACTCTCTACGTGAGGGTGAGATTATATAGTGCATAAGAAACGCGTATTATCATCCAAAAACCTTACATTCATTTAAAGTTTTGTACCGTCTCATTTTAAATAATAAAAGAATTCCAATTAAGAAAAATTAATATAAAATGGAAGCCATATTTACATCAAGACTCTACTTTAACGACTTCTGTAGTACCTTAAGATATTCTGGTTAATATGACTTGAATTAATTATCACACGAATTGTTGTCCTGTTTTATTTCATCATGGTTGGTTACTCTCCCCTTTGAAAAGACTTTCCGATAGCGATTTTAATCTTCAAATCATGAAACCAGTCTAAAATAGACATAGATCATATTTAAGATAAATATTACGCTCTTAACATAACTAGGGAAAGAAATTATTAGTATGATAACTTGTCCGTATCTTAAAGACATGAAAAACGTCTTCTTCTATGTAAGTAATTATTAGTTCTGAGTTTGTTAAATATATTCTAATATGACAAAGATGGGTACATGTTTACATTTATATACATTAGTATGTAGAAGAGGAATGCAATGAGAATAAAGTTAATTATATAACAAATAAAAAATTAAATGTTAATGTCTTTTTTTACAGACTCTGACAGATATAGTTATTAATATTGTGTTTCACTTCTTATATAAAATGTCACATACGCTGCTCTTTATGAGTTTATATATTAATAAATGTTCTTCTTTATTCCTTAGGAGGCTTTATTAAAATATATATTGACAGAAAACCGTAGCAAACTAAAAGTAGCCACAAAACGTAGACCAGGGATCTACGATGTCATATTTGTAATGTTCCCAAAATTTAATTAAATTATAATATATAAAGAAATATGTATACGTTTTCATTGTTAAAATTTTAATAAATATTATTATACTTGAATGCCTAAATAACGTACTCTGTAGCGTATAAGCCTTAAGGTAAGTCTTAATACAACGGCTAGTATCAAAATGAAAATAAATATTCGTAGACGCAGCCTCGTGGTAGTCTTAGTGTTGCGATGAACTCGGAGTTTTACCACACCACATAGGACACCGTCTTGCCAACAACTGGAATACAATTAAGATCGAAACATTATGAAGATTTATGATTTATTGCATAACAAAAGATTTTTTTAGTATAATTAAAGTGTAATATCTAAAATATATAAATCAATTCAGTGGATTCACCGTGTGGGTGTCGGGTCCATCGCGTTGCAGGGAGAGGAGCTTCAACAGTGCCTGAGACTTGCGACCCAGGTGTAGGTTTAAAGGGCCCCATCTTACATGCGTCAAACGCTCACCTCCACCGTCCAAGCTCCTCTCTCTACCTAACCAAATTTGAAAAGAAACCTACTATGTCTGCCCTCAAAGTACGTTCCAACTAGAAAATTAATTAATTAAGAAAAAAAGAAACAAAGGGTTGTCCATCACCTGTATACACGAGCGTCGCTATATAATACGTGTTTAATGACGATATGATCTCTCGCGTTGAGATGGATCCTGTCTCTGCTCGCGCTCCACAGATACCTCGGACTGACCTCATGGGTGTCGACACGCCATGTAAACGGGATGTCACGCAGAGTTGTACTGTAAAAAGTATAGTTACACTATGCATGAGAATATCGTGTACATAAGAATATAGATGGATTGATCAGGATTACATAGAAGACAGCAGCACATTGCTTTTGTCACAAATAAATTGTAGTGTATTCAATTTAAATTCAATATAAAAAAAACATTAATACATATGTTATAATTAATCAATTTATTTTTATTTTAAAATTTTTTTGGGAGTCAAAGTCAATTGAAAATATGTATATATAGGAAGCTTTCTTAGAGGTACAGTGATGATTAATTACCCGTAGCATATAATGATGACTCTTTCCCCTGGTTCTACGTACATGATTCTTCTTGCTGGTAATGGTGGTTGTAATGGTGGGTTCTGATGGAGGGAATATATACCAGCGGTGTTGTTTACCGATTCGATTATATCGCCGGACTGGGATCGAATGTTACCTATTGCTTCTTTGCATCGAACCTGTATTAAATTAGTTGAGCCTACATCAGCTGAAACCTTCAATGGATACGTTACAAAAAATAGAATTTAATCTACAGCAAAACTATATGTTCCTATATTATATTTAGTTTTACTTTCATTATTACCTTCTTTTTCTAACTTAAAAACAAACCTATTAAATAAGTAAATTAAATAAGTATAAATCATTGATAATATGTAATACCCTGCACAGGCCGAGCATAATTTCGTTTGGTCTCTGCTGTACTGACGGCATGTTTCGGATTGAAGGCGGCAATATTCGTGATCGACAAGGGATACCGTCGGGATACACTGAAACGACATTAATATCATACATCAAAAAATGTATCAGGATCATTATCAAACCCATTAAGATATATTATGTAGTTATCAATCTATTTATTGTTTTAGGTTCCGCAATATTTTTTTATTTCTATTATTCAAGGTTATCACAAGAAGTTAAATGCTCATAATCTTTTATTAAATCAGTAAATAATTTATTAAACCTAAAGGGCATGCGGTTTTAAATGTTACAAATTTTTTTATTTTAAGGCTTACAATTAACGAGTCAGTTATGAAAGAGGAAACATTACTAATGAGAGTTAAGATCCATCGTACCTTCAAATAGTTTTGAACTTTCTTCGTCACTGTTAGACATGTTTGATTTAAATGTTGTTTTATACTGGAATTGGCCAAAATTAGAATAAATTAGAAAAACTATGATATAAAATGTCTAAAATTTTGGTTATGGATAGTTATATGAATCATTCTATGAAATATTGAAATAAATTATTATATAATGAAGTTTTATTAATTGAAATCACCTCGTTTATACGAGACACATAACATATGCCATATCTCCTTCTCCTGCCGACAGCACCACATTGACTACACTCACTCCACTCGGACCAAACACTAAACATTACCAAAAAAGCGTTTAAATAAACTGGTTTCATCGGGTATGGACCTTTTGAAGTCGCTGGTTTAACCTTTAAAAATATATATTATACGTTTAAGTCTTAAATAAAAACCATGAAAACCAACATGATTATAGTGATTACTTACTACATTGTATTGTTCATCATCGATAACTTCCAATGTTACAATTACTCCTAGTTGTTCTTCGGCCAAACAACGATAATCACCGGCGTAAATTGTTCTTACATTATAAATAGTAAGATTATAGTCGGTGATAATTCCATCATCCTCTTGAACTGGCTTATAATAATAATTTGTCTAAAAAAGATCATCGATTAAATGTAAATAAATATGTTTATAAATAACTAAATATCTTACTTTATAGAGCCATTTCGCGGGCTTATTCCATAATTTAGAAACATTTAGTTTGCACGGCAGTATTGCCACTGCTCCTGAATATGTTCTAACAATAAGTTTTGGAACAGTTTTTATATCTTCAAATATATCATTATTCGTATTTTCTGTAACAAAAGCATATGAAACACGTAAATGTAGCCGTGACAAAGCTGTTTTGAGTTCACAAATCACCAAGCTGCTAACTACATATTAGATGAGTAAGTAAGTTTCGCTGGAGTGTTTGTATATTTGTTATTCAAATCGAACGTCATACTTTTCAACTTTCCATCATATTCGTGAACAATGGGGTTAACGAAATAGATTGTTATTAACATGAAAATAGCTATGGTAACATAAAATTCTGGCATAACGTGTAAGTTGTCAGATTGACGTAAACTTTTCTATATTTTTTTATTGATACAAGAGAGGTTACAGTGTCTCTTAAATTTAAATCTGGTTCGTAATGTTGCTTATTGTATTGTTAGGTTTGGAAAAATAAATAACTAAAAAAATACTAGTTACAAACGAACAATTTAATAATTCTTACAAATTCATGACTAAATGTAATAGGTTTATTAGTGCCACTAATACGCAATGATGATTGATACCTCACAGAATCTAATATGAGATTATAAAATGACTCACGATACCGAATTTACAGAGCTCTGACAGTTCCGACGGTTCACGTGCAAAAGAAAGATTCGATACAAGACTAGAGACTTTTTTTATCTTTATAAAACTGATAAATTTGAGGGTACTTTAATAAATCAAAGGGGAGGGTTGTGATTGTAGTATTATCAATAATGATGAATGTAGAGTAGCTTTGTACACAGTATCTAATTACAGTACTATAGAAAACATATAGTAATCTCTTCTACAGAGGTACGTAGTTTGACGAACGCACGGATGCACGCTCGCGTAATCAAGTTGTGAGATTGTTATATATCACTGAAAACTTTGTTTGTTACCCTCAAAGAGTATTGCGATTATTCACGTATACAATTGATCTCAAATGTCTTGAACACACCAACTTGCCATATCAGGTAACTATAGTTAGATTGTCTAGTATAAGAACATAAATTAATCTTTCATGATTGATATACAATAAAAGAATGCATAATACATATAAAATAATAATAGAAAAGAAATAGAATTTGTAAAGTTTTCAAACGCAGTCCTTAAATTAATAGAATTTTAACCGTCGGGATAATTTAAAAACAAATTAGATTATCTAAAAAAATATTATTCGTAGTATAATAATTAGATAAGACAATTTAAAAACTATAATAAAAATGACCATGAAAACTATTCTTTTAAAATATTTTGATTTTTTCCAATCTATCTTGTTGCTTGTTTGTGAGTTATAGTAGTGGGAGCCCTGAGAATTTTCAGGGAATCAAATTAAAATATTTCGAAAAAGAAAAAAAATTCAGTTATATTTTCAAAATTGAATAATTAGTCAACAAATAAAAAACAAGCCTTTCAAAGTCTTATAAAAGACAAAATAAATTTTAAATTAAACAAAAAAATAATTATATCCAATAATTTAATATTATGAAGTCCGTCTGCAAAGTTTCTTTATTATATAAGTAATAATTAATATCGTATTCTTTTATTTAAACTAGTCTATAATCTTTTCAAGGTTTCTCAGATTGCGTATTTTTTAAACTCAAATCGTAATTTAATATAGAATCCATCACTCATACAACTTCATTCTGTTTCTGTAATCCTAATCACATTATTTAACTAAATATCAAATAAATACTATATGTAATTACTTCATTAAATCTAACTCACCAAAGATTATACAGTCTACTAGTACTTTACTTTGACCGGCATTGCAAGCATCAATACATAAAGTAACTAATATTGCTTTCTCTATAAACTTCGCATATTTTGTTACTTTACGTGTAGTTTTTAACAAGTACATCCTTAAGGTATGGATTTAATATCTGAATTAGAGATTAAACTTGTTTGTAATTAGTACCAGATTCTTCATATTGGTTATTTTCTAATAATATAATAAAATTAAACATTTTTTTAAGCCCCAATGTTTAAATTGAAAGAAGGAAAAGATAAAACCATACAGCAACAAATTTTCAAACATTTCATGAAAAAGCGATAACTTATATATTTTATGTAAAAGTGATCAACAGAAAAAATTATAGGCAAGCTTTTCTATTTTTTATTGATTTTTCATCGCTGATAAGGTTGTTGAAAACCTATTGCTTATAAAGAATATAATAATTATTAAATAGCATATCAAATAATTTTGTTATACTTCTATAAAAAGTTATACTAATTATGTGGAATATTTGTTACGTGTTACAACATATGTTTTTTTAAGTATGTGGTAATAAGAGCTTAGATAATTTTATTTTCACAAAATGTTACAATGACTACATCAACTCTATTCTGTTACTTTATGTAATGAGTTTGCGAATAAATTCGTTCATATGTGTAATGTCTTTGACAACGTTTTGCAATTAAATTTGCTTCTTGTTGATACATTATGATTTTAATATAAAATAATAAATAAGTTATATATTTGAATGTTTTTATTATATTGCTTCTTATTTCGAAATTAAATTAAATATTTTAGCCTTACCTACCTCAATAACTCATAATTATAATATCTATATTCTCATTACATACTTAAAAAGTTGAATTGGATATTTTCAAGAGTCGTTTAAATCCTAATCCCACTCTGTTCTGTTTAATTTAGATATTGCTATATTCAACGGTATTTACAGGGGATATACAGTGTAATAAAGGTTTTGTAAAATATAAATAAGGAAAATCCTTATAATCAAAACTACGTGTAATCTCAAATCAGTTAAATAAAATAAGTAACTTCTATTCAATTATCATGATTTCAGAAATAACAAAGCATCATTATTTGAATCCGTAAAGACAAAAAAAAAATTGTTGTTAAGATTTTAAATAATTCAATAAGTAGATGTATTATATTTTTTAAATAAAAAATATTAATATTTAAATTTGTGGTAAAACTATATTATTTCCAGAGCCCATTCATACGTTGACAGGGTTGTATGTCACAACTGTTTGTTCAGGTGGAATTTAAACACAATTTTAAATCAGATATCATTAACTTTTTAACATAAATTTTTGTCCACCCGCTCAGTTTTTAATGAAAATACATGGTTAGCTTTATGAAGTAATTTTCACTGTGACTATACGAAACATCCAAATGATAAACTTTAAATATAAATAACTGCTGTAATATGAGTAAAAATATAATGTCCAATATAAAACTAAACTCAAGTTAGTTTTTAAATAAATGCGCTAAAAGTTATCAAAACTTTTACTATCAAATCATAACTTTATTACATAATTTTTAATGATGTAAATATTTAAAAAAAAATTTAACTGTGTAGATAAAAATTTCCTTTCAAACCTTTGAGTGGTTGGTTTTACTTTTTAGAATTAATCAAACTAAGTAAATATACGCTTTAAGTTGTGACGAAATTTAATATAATTAATATAATTTGATCTCGTTTTAAGTTATTATTATAACATGTAAATAGAAGCTTGCTTTTTATAAATAAAAAATACTTTATTTTTTCATAGAAAAAATAAAACATTATGCATATCCTGTTATTTTGTAAATCAGTGGTGGCCTAGTCGTTAAAGGGCCCGCCTCTCGTTGCCGAGGGCGCGGGTTCAAACCTGGCAAGTACCAATGTGATTTTTCGCAGTCATATGTACTTTCTGAGAGTATTTGGACACCATTGACATACGGTGAAGAAAAACATCGTGAGGAAACCTGGACTTATAGTTTCACAATACTTATAAGTTTGAAATCACCAACTCGTCTTGAGCAAGCGTGGTGATTAATACTCAAACCTTCTCCATGTGAGAAAGAGGCCTTTGATCAGCAGTGGGCTCTGATAGGCTGATGATGATGATGATGTTATTATTTTGTATATTTTTTTTTATAAAAAGTGCTATTGATATCATGTTTTATTTTTTAATTACAGCGGGAAATAAAAAAACTATATAGTAGTAAAAGAACTGCAATAATGGGATAATTAACGTAATTGTTATTGCCTTCATTACTGAACAAGATTACGTCTCATTTGTATAAAGACCAACACTATCGTAAGATAAAACTATCGTTACATACAAAACATATCAGTTGGTCCGAACATTTTTTAATTCTCAAAAGGTTTATATAAAACGCTATACTAGTACAATAATACTAAAGATATTTTTTTGAACTAACTAATGTTATTACCAAGACAAATAGAAAATATATTTTATACGAGAGCAAGTATGTAAACCTTACATATTATTAAATATTTATATCTGTTAAGGAGGACA